TGTGTTGGAGTGTCTTTGAAGTGGTTTTCTGCGCTCAGTAGTCGGCTCAGTGGATGCAACACACACTAACACACACTCAGGTGAACTTTTGTTTGCCATGTTCCGCCTTAGCTTCACACACCAAGGTTTTCTTTCAAATTCATGCATTCTTAAGTAGAGTTTTGTGTTGCTGAGATTTTTTTATCTTTTTTTTTCTCATACAAGTTCACAGAAACAAGATTTTAAAGAAACTTCTGTAGAAATCGTCTTTGCCTCGACATCAACACAAGATGTTTGTGTCATTGAATGGGCAGGAAGCCTTGTGCAGGTCCTAGTTATCCTAAGAGCTAGGTTGACTTTTCACCTCCTGGCTGAGAGAAACTGAAGATGCCTTCGCTCGAGCTCTCTGGAGAATGAAGCCGCCGTTCCCCCCAGCAGAACTGTAAATGTTTCAGAAGACGAGGAGCTATTTTCACACACACTGACGTGACCATCTTCCACAATACAGCCCCCCCAGAGTGTGAGAAGAAAAAGCATGGGCATGTGGAAAAACAGCAAGGGTGGAAACGTGAAAATGTGGATGAAGTAACGCAGAAGTTCAGCTTTCGTTCGAGAGCCATTTAAAGCCAGGCTGTCGTATCAGGAAACAGGACACTGTACCAAAGAATCATCCAGCTGTTTAATTTCCCACGTACAAGGTTCAGACGACAATAAGTCAATGTAATAACAAACTCAAGAGTTGAGGCATTAACCGTATCCCAAGATTAATTTAATAAGCTATAAGATTAACACAAAACAAAGCTTTATTTTGTGGTCTGAGGCAGCCAAAGAGCCTTGATAAGAGGGCTCTATGGGACGATAGGCCACTTAATAATAAAGTTCAATCAATTAGTTGTTTGATTAATTACTTTTTGTGCAACTTAGGACAAATGACTCATTTTAGGAGCAGTGATCAATAGCCTGAAGCTGCAGGGAGTGGCGATACAGAGAATGCTGCATATCATCATGTTTTAATAGCATTTGTCCAAGAGGAAGTGAACCATAATTTATTTTTGGTCAGGTTACTTTTGACTTACAGCATGCAGAGTATGTGACACCGCGTCATGGTTCTGAACAAAAGCTAAGCCAAGATTCCAAGGCAACCTCCAATAAAGACAATTAACGTTCTGCTGTTTTTATGAAATCAGAAGTGAAGTAGCAGCCTGATGCTCTGTGTTTCTTCAATGAGACAAGTTGCATAAAAGGGAGGAAACACTTAACTAGTTTACACATCGATGTCGTTCAGCACCAGCGGCACAGCCCTCCCGCTCCGACCAGGGGGTGTGGCTTTATGGACCACTGCCACCGCTCCCCTCGAGCTATCATCAGTCAGCTGATAGCCCCCCCCCAACTTAACACGGATTCTCCACAACACACCGGGTGGAACGCGGCTTCTTAAAATTTACACACACGCTCACAAGTCCTAAACTGTGGGAAAGAGCCTGTTTTAATGGAGGGCACGCACACACTCACACGAGTTTCAGGTTTTACAAGGCCATCAGAGGGAGAGACGCTGTAGGGTCTGCATACCAGAGAGGGAGGGGGGGTGACCTTTAAAGCTTTGAACAGACCGGAGGGAAATACAGATGAGGAGGAGATGCAGACTTCTGCTGTTTGTCACGGTAGATGCTTCATTTTGTCATCTTCTGCTGGAGTCTGCGCAGTAGCCCCTGTCCCTGTGTCTTACCTCTCCTCTGTCCGCTGTCCAACATTATCTGTTGCGGGGCTCGTTCGTCCTTTCCGAATAACCTCTCCCATCAGCAGACCGTGTGTTTTGGGTCTTCGTCACAGAGCCGAGGCAGCTCAGTCGCCTGGAAGAATACAAAAAGATGAGAACAAGCTCTCTTGTTTGACATTCTGCGTGCCACATGCAGTTTATTTTGCCTGAATTATTAAGGAAAAGCAGATGGGTGTGGGGAGGGGGGCGAATACAGCGGAGATTGGAAGCAGAGAGAGGGGAATGTCGAAATCATGTGTCTGACATTGAAGAAAACAGAGGGATGGAGGAGGGAGAGTAGAAAAAGACAGGAATTAGGAACAGACACAAGGGGACGAAAGCAGCGCTGGTCCTGGAAAGATCTGAAAGAGGGGAATCAAAAGCAGAAGAAAGAGAAATAAGAGAGGGTGGGTGGAGGGATGGAGGCCGCACTGGGACCGATCAGTCTGGCATTCACAAGACGAACCAAATCCTGAAAAGAGGGGACGGTGTGTCCAATGTCCACATAAACAAGATACCATCACTTCTAAGCCTCATAGACCAATATGTTATTCCCAGTGCATCAAAGAAAAGCTACGAGAAGCCAACAAGTGAGACAACTGAGACACACAAAAACTCCCATTGGAACAGACGAGAGCAGCTGCTGAATCTCTGAGAGTGGAACGACGTCCCATTACTTACTAATGCAGGACTCTAGCTGCCCAATGTCTGCGAGGCCTCTTTGATGGACTCAGTGTTTCTGAGAGCTCTGGACTGCAGGCGACTCTCCTCATGTGAACTATGTTGTTGGGATCCAAAATAAACAGGGTGCAGCCTTTAGGTTAAATTCTCTGGGTTCAGTCACCATTTAAGGGGACCATGGTTGTGTTATGGAAGCCTTAAAGGATTTTATCAACACTCTCCGTGGCATTAACACATAAGAATAAAAGAGAAAAGGTAAAAAACATTGTTGGAATATACAAAGTTTTCGCGGCTCGTAATTCTCCATCAACTGCTTGAGATGAGCCCTCAAGGTCCAGCCTGTGGACTTTGAATTGCATTTCTTTACATCCTTTTTACTGACAGCTTACCCAATTACATGGGCCGCACCGAGATCCTAACGCCACAGCACAGCAAAGCCGAAACCACCTCTAAGCTTTTAATCGTTCGCATAGTTGGGACGTGTTGCGGAGCGTTTCGGGTGGGGCTTTCTGTTTGCCGAAGCTCAGTACGAGCCGCAGCGTCTTTTGTCAGATCTCATTTGTTTGGATTTTTGGCCTGAAGGCGTCCAAGAAGACTCCCTGTCTCCCGTCTGTGAATCAAACCCCTCTGTATGTTGATATAGTCAGAGGTTTGCCTCATTGTGTGAATGATGCGGAAACCACCTCCAGCTTAAGGAGGTGCTAACGTTCTGAAGGCCGCGGAGGGTTCAGGGTGAGACTGGGTTTCCGGCCATCAGATAAAGGCAGAAAACGAGGCAGAACGGGGAGGCAGATGGGTCTAACAGGTGAGAGAAACTGGGGGTTGTTGAGTGTTTTGTCTCTCCAGGCTGAAGGTGAAGGGTCAGCCTCACTAATTACTCCCCTCTCCCCACCTCCAGACGCCGCCCAGTGAGTGTGTGTTGGTGGGGGGGTGTGAGACTCTCGGTGTGTCGACCTTCAGGTCAAGTCAGCTGTGAGAAAGCTGCGACATCCAACACCCCCACCCCCCCCCGCTGGGTGTGCCACTGAAAGTGTGTTTGGGAAAATCTTTCTTTGCGTGCAATTCTACTGGTTGCCGGTCTCCTGGCCTTTGTTCTTTTTAAAAGATGGCGGTGTCGTTGAGTCTGTCGTCAGTCGGTTCACCGCCTTCATTGACTGAAAAGCCTCAACCACAGGAGGGGTCAACCCCTTCCTTTTTTCCCAGGTTTGGAGTTTGGTTTGGTTTTCTTTTTTTAAGTGGAAGGAATCAAACTTTAAAGCAGAAATCCAGACAACGTGAATGGAATTCCCATTCATGTCAACGTTAAAAAAAAAAAAAAAACATTGATTTGAGATAAAAGTGAGAGTGATAAGGCCACGGCCAGACTTGACAAAGGCTCTGGTTCATATTTGGCTGAGGCCAACATGAGTAAAAATCCTGATTTCGGCCTTTGTCCCTGCTTTGTTTCTCTGTGTCTGTTGAAAGCAGACTTCGGAGTATCTCAGTTAGTTATTGATCAGAGCTGATTGATCTGTGGAGATCACCGACAGCCGGCAGCTCTTTTGTTTTCTCGCAGGCTCGCAAAGCAATGAACATGTCATTTCTGCTGTTGGGCTTTTCCCTGAAATACCACTGAGTGTGATTTACTACCAATATGACATTATATCCAGATGTTTCCAGCTGCTCGGCAGGAGTTTGACTTGCAAGAAACTGTTCACACTGAGTAGGCCTGTCAGTATCTCCATTTTCTGAGGTGACTGCAATAATTTCCATCCTCATTTTTTGCTCCAACTTCACTTCAAAGGTGAAGCTAAAAAAGGCCACTTACAAGTTATTATAATTTACAGGTAGTTCTAAAGACTGTGAAAAGGTTCTTGCCGTTTAAAAGCCCCTTTTGATGGTTCTCTGAGCGATGATGGGTCCCCCGAAGTGTCGACACAAAAAAAGATTTGCTCAGTAATTTATGGGAACTATTAAAAAGTCCCTGTGGTTTGAGGTAATGCTGTGGATTCACTTTAAGCAAAAATCCTACTTCATGGTTTGACCACACTAATGACTCACAAGTTCTAGCTTAAGAAGAATTACTTCTCTAGGTATGTGTTTCTTTAGGCTTGCCCAGAATGCCTTTCTCTCAGTTTTTTCCACACCCTCCCCTGGATGAAGTTTTTTTTTTTTCAAAATGAAGGTAAATGCAACACGTTAAAAAATACCCACGGCATTGTTGTCGAGGCTGTAGGCCGGGAATATGTTGGCTTTTTATTCACAGGTTAACAAAAGCTAGTCTGTTCTTAGTGCAATCTGTTTCCACTTGCCTGCGAACCTCCCCTGTTGCTGGAGGACACCACAAGGGGGCGCACCAGATGACTGACAACGATTTTTACTAGTATGTCAGTGACTGGCAGTGACAAAGACTCATTCAAAAACATGTGAGAAACCACAGACGTCTTCCAAGAACTCCTCTACTACACTTTTAGCTATTCCTGCCCTTGCTTGTCTAATAATATAATTAAGTTGGATCCAACACTGCCCCCACTGGTCACCTGAATATAGCAGTTTATGAATAAATAGCGTACATTTTTCCAGGGCGTGCTCACGCGAGTGTATCGGAATAATGCCGACGTTGGCCTCTAAAAATAGCCTAAGATAAGATAAAGAATCCAACCTGTTCAGTATACATCTTAATACGCAACGACAACCTCGCAACTCAATGAAAGTTGAGTCAATATTGTCATGACTTTTCAGTCGCTCACCGCGCATTGGACATAAGTACCCCGCGCGCGCGGCTCCACCCCTCTCTCAGTAGCACGAGGCACACACAGAGGCATGTCCCTGCGTGTTCCTGCTGGAGGTCGAGCGACGCAGAGGCAGAGAGGCAGCGGGCTCCGGGCGGTCAGCGGCTCCCGTAGCGGCGGTGACGCGGAGCGGACTCCCACATCGTGTTGTGGGCTTTCCTTTTTTTTTTAAATTGGCCTCTCATCGATACACCTATTGAGCTGATGGATCTGTGACGTCACCAACCGTCGGATTCTCCTGCTCAAGGATCTGTTACTCCAAACTTTTCGGTTTTAATTTTTTTTATTTATTGATCTGTCTGGGAGGCTCGGAGCGACCGGCGGAGCAGCCATGGGTTTCTACGGCACCTTGAAGCTCATCTTCTACAAAGTGAGTGCTGACTGACAGGCGCGTGCGTGGGCGCGTGCGTGGGCGCGTAGGTGATCCGTTTTTTGGGTTTTTTTTTACTGAGAGCTGTCGCGCTGAAACTGAAGGTTGTCAGGCGCGTGCACAGCCGGGATGACAAGGCGTTTCTTCTCCAGTGCTACCCGCACCCCGACAGAGAAATGCCTCGGTGGCGCGTGCGTGTGTCGGTGCGCGTGCGCTTGTGGACCACTGCGGAACCGGGGGGGGGGGCATCTCATTCTGATGTGCTCTCTCCATCCATCCTTCCTCCCTCCACCCGCCCTTCCTGCCTTGATTCGATTATCGGTTATAGATTCCTGTTGCTCCCCCTCAGTCTCGTTTCACTGAGCGGCGTGTTGGACTTTGAGCCCCAGCGCCTGAACACAAACTGGAAAAGAAGAAAAAAAAAAACACTGGAGAAAGCACCACGAACTGTGGGCCACGTTCCAAAATGTTAATCGTGTCATCTGGCACTAATCATTGAAAGTGATCACAGGCAATCTTTAATTTAAGCTGAAGCCTCATTACAGCTTCAGGATATTGGGTTGAATATAAAAATCCACAACTAAAGAATACCCCGTTTCAAAGTACAGATATAGCAATAATGGGCAGATTTTGGTTGTTTGTATGCTGTAATATTGGAGTGTAAACTAAACTTTAAACTGAACTAAACTTTAGGATCTCATGCTCAGAAAGCCTTTTTGCTTCAGGTGACAATTAAAAAAAAATCATAGGTTCAAGTGTACTCTAACCAGCCAAACCACAATATATAACATTGTTGTGTTTTTTAAGTGTAAAATCAATTCAGAGAATTTTCTTATCCTCACCCTGTGAGAACACAGAGAAATGAGAGCTTATCAGTATAGCCATGAAGATCCCATTACAGTTAAAATTCCATAAAAGAAATCCTCATGTCTTAAATCGGCTTCAGAGATGCATGAATCAGGTAAAATTTATGGCAAGTTGCAGTTTCAACCAGAGCTTTGAAATCACAACCTTGAAAAAGGGAACGTTCACCAAAGGAGTCAAACAGGAAGTCACAGCTGCTTTAATCTGCATTGTTTGGGTCAAACTTCGAGTAAATGAACTGGAATCAAGTTCAACTTGATTATCTGTTGCTTGTTTATGCTAAGCCACAGATTAAAAGCTTGAAATTTGACATTTCTGCTTTCCTTCTCTGTGAAAACACAAATAAAGGAGGTAAGGTTCAAACCGCTGCCGCGCTGGCTCTTGTATTCCAAGCAAATTTGGTTTATTGCATTGGATAGGGAGTCACAACAAAGAGTCAAAATGATACAAAGAATGTTTATGGACTCAAACCACAAGATTAAAACCTAAAATACATGTCTAAGTTTGTATTCTAGTATAGCTGTCCTAATCTGCCTCAGTTTGGCTCAAAGAAGCAGCACAGCTATAAACCACCCGAATAAGATTTAACAGCGATTTATCTTCCTCACTCGGTCTGAAAACAAATTGTGGCAGATCCTCCAAACTGAAGGTTTTTGTTCGACACGTGTTATTACAGGTGGAAAGAAAGTCCATTAAAATCCATCTTCATCTTTAAACTAGGAGATTAAACCCCTGAAAATAAGAGAGCAATGGAAGCTCCTGTAATCCGCATAGAGTCAAATCTAAAAGAAAGAAAAAAAGCAAACGACACCAAGAGAAAAGCCAACATTTTGAGTTAATGCTTATTTTTTTACTGCAGGGAAACCACAAGATTAAACTTGCGAAAACGTGACTTCTGCCCACAAAGTCCTGCAGCTATAATCTGAGGGGCTTAGTTCATGTGTGCAGACTGAAGCAGCCAAACTGCACACTAACCGGTAGCCTCAGGACAAAGGGGGAAATAACCTCCCTGTATCCCTACGCTGCCCAGGGCTCGACCCCCTTAATAACAGCCCCAGTAACAGTTCAAAAGGGTTTTTTTCTTGTAAGGTGGAAGTCTTTAATTCATCACACCCAAACTTCCCTTCATGCGTTGCTTATTGTCAGAAGCCTCAAAAGACGAGATAAACCCTTGAAAATGGATGTTCTTTTGTCAACGGATAGCTGTCACAGAACGTATTACGAAATGCAGCAGCTTAGAAATAAACTGCTTGATTAAAAATGCATCACCGAACCCCCCCCAGAAAAGGCCCAGCAGGACCAGATGTTTGTCTGTCTTTACAGCTCCCCGCAGTGCAAAACAACACAAACAGCAGAAGGATGGAGCACGTGGCTGAGAGGGCTTCCTAAAAAGAAACTGCTAGCTTCTGTTGATTTGGAATTGTAATTGTGTCGAACTGCACGATTAGAAACTTCAGAAATGGACACATGAGCCTCTCAAAAAGGAAACACAAATTCTGGGCCAATATGATGGAATAATCAACATAAGATCCCCAAATAGGATAAGATGTTACCCTTTAGCATCATTACATTCTTGAAATTGTGGCTTGGTGCTTGTTAGTGTTGATTTATGTGGTCAGCTTTGGTCTGTAAAACGCAAAAAAAAAAACTAAACTTGAAATCAGACTAAACCTCAGCAGCGTGTAAATAAGTCATAGAAAAACATGGAAGGCCACCACGTTCACTGCTGATTGTGGACTCGGCATTGGTCCATCAGACGGGCTAAAGCTCCAAACGTCCCCGCCGTTGCGCTGTAGCGGCGCCCAACGTCGACGTCCTGGAAGGCTGGAACACAGACGTGTTTTCCACCAACGCGCAGCCCAACCGAGCCCTTCTTGTTTTAACAAGAAACGCATTCCTTTGGTCCTCACCACCAAGTTGACTTTTTCTTTTGTTGGCTCATAACATCCTCACAGATGTGGCCTCTGTTGCTCGGAGCCAGCGACACAGAGTCAGAGAGGGGG